AAACACAACCTGTACAGTGCATTGGACAAAGCTAACAATGAAATTGGCTTCAGCTGTTCTGTAAGGATGAGAAATCTACTCAGGGACAATGTTTTATCTATGGTATCAGTAACCTCACTATAGTTCGGCCGCTTAGAAAACGACCTGCACGCTAATCCTAGCCAATGCTTGAGGAGGTCGCTATCTAAGCGGCCGAACTATACCTATACAGTCATGCGTCGGTTACCTAAAGCCCGGTTATCCGAAACGTGGCCGACAGAGCAGATTACTGTACCGGCGTTGACACGATAGCGAGAGACGACCAGCGGTGGTGGCGTAAATAAGGGAGTTGATCAGGGTGATCAATCACCCCCCCCCCCCCCCAAAGACAAATAATATATATATCTATTTTTTTTTAAATAAATTATTTAGAAAAAATACAAACTAAAAAAATAATATGTAAATACTGCTTTTTTTGCAAATTTCCCATATAGGGAATAAGCTATTACCGTAGGTCTCATGGTAAGACCTGGACCCGGGACCGATTTACTTTTTTGTTTTAAGGTCCCCAGAGGCCAAAAACACCATCCGTTCAAATTCATATGTATATATATATTAAATATCTATCTATCTATCTATCTATATATTAATAGGCAAGCATGTTTCTTTAAAACCTTTTTTCTCAGCTCGTGTGCATCGTAGGGAAAATCTACGCATACCGTTAGAAAGCTTTTTTCCTGTAGGTGTGCAGAATCCCTTTATAAATTTAAATAGGCTCAAAGATAAGCACAAAAAATGAGTTTAAAGATTTGAAAAAATTAACATGGATCTAATGCGTTGCCATGCTGGTGACAAAATAACAACGAAATATAAACAGGAAATCAAAACAAATGGAAGAAACTCCAATCACATGTTTTATTTACAGTGTGGGGTGAAAATAGAGAAGTGAGTACATTACATATTTTTGGTCGAGTTTCGACCACTGGACGACCTCTCGTTTAAGTAAACTAGAGGTCGTCCAGTGGTCGAAACTCGACCAAAAATATGTAATGTACTGACTTATGTTAATGTTTCACCCCACACTGTAAATAAAACATGTGATTGGAGTTTCTTCCATTTGTTTTGATTTTATTTTTATATTTCGTTGTTATTTTGTCACCAGCATGGCAACGCATAAGATCCATGTTAATTTTTTCAAATTTTTAAACTCATTTTTTGCGCTTATCTTTGAGCCTATTTAAATTTATAAAGGGATTCTGCACACCTACAGGAAAATAGCTTTCTAACGGTATGCGTAGATTTTCCCTACGATGCACACGAGCTGAGAAAAAAGGTTTTAAAGAAACATGCTTGCTTATTAATATATAGATAGATAAGTACAACTGAGCACCCTGAATATTATATTTTACTTATGTCCGAAACATGTCACTTCTTTAAAAAAAATATAATATTCAGGGTGCTTAGTTGTACTTTATTTACTTAAATATTTAATATATCAGCAGCCCTATTACGTGAACACCTAAATTAAAATATATATATATATATATTTATATGTTTATATCTATACTATTATAAAAAAGAGGTGGTTGCTGTATGTGTGTATGTGTGTATGGGAAAAGTAAACTCGAAAAATACTGGTCGGATTGGGCTGAAATTTGGCATGATGATAGCTCACATTCCCGATTAACATATAGGCATATTCTTATTTCAAAAATCCTTTCGGGCTCCGCCCCAGTGGCTCTGGAGTTTCCCATGTTAACCTTATGAGAAATGGAATTATTGAATCTTAACAGCTGTTTCAATTAAACAAGTTGGTTCTGTTCTATGATGTTCAATAGCATTAAAGTTACAAGGATTACCAACAGGGTGCAGCACTATTATTTCTTTTACATTTATGACAACAGCTAATTTGCAACCAAAAGGTGAGTGAGCGTAGCGAACGAACTTCAACCTGGAGGCGAGTTAGCGTAGCGAACGAGCTAACCTGAAGGCAAGTGAGCGCAGCGAACGAGCTCCAACCTAAAGGTGAGTGAGCGTAGCGAACGAGCTCCAACCTAAAGGTGAGTGAGCGTAGCGAACGAGCTCCAACCTAAAGGTGAGTGAGCGTAGCGAACAAACTTCAACCAGGACGTGATTGAGCCATGCGAACGATATAATCTTGAAAATTAAGAAGTTAAACGGGGCAAAGCCCGCGGGTTACAGCTAGTATATATATATATATATATATATGTCCGTTAGCACCATAACTCAAACAAAAATTATCCGATTTTGATGAAATTTGGTATTAACAAGTAAACCTACATTTATTCAAAGATCGGACCATGGGAACGGGGGTTTATGGGGGGTTTTATGGGGTAAAAATGGGGTTTTCCCTTTTTTGACCCTAAAAAGGTAAAATTTTTGAATTTCTTTCCCAACCATTTTGTAGAGCTTAAAAAAATAAATAATTTAGTATATTGAAGCATTGTTGTATGCCTAAGGGTTTCGGAGAAAATTCAAAAAAAGGCAAATTTAAAATTCCCATGTTATTCTTATGGAGAAAATGAAAACTGTTGTAGTTGACTTGTTTATGGATATATTTTGATCAAATTTGGCAAATTTATTTATTTCATCCTATACTATTGACGTTTGGTCAAAAAACACTGTTTACCTTCCCCGTAGCAGCAAACCCAAGCACTCGTTAAATCTAATGTTATTTAAATTGGGAATAAATATGTCTTACTTATAGAAATATTTTAGTAAAAATGTAATCAGACAAGCTGAAATTCGCTTAGTCTGCAGGTTTGCTGCGGCGGGGGTTTTTACATATACTGTTAAGTGTGTATGGGTTAAGAAAAGCATACACTAAAACCTTTAGTATCTAATAGTCAATGATAAAACTTAGGAATTTTAAATTTAAATTAGCAAAAGGAAGCAGCAATATATCTGCAAGCCACAAGTTGAGACAATTTGCGAGCTTGCCTATGCTGTTGGACACACACTACCAGCTGGGAAAGTCGCTAAAATCACGCTCTTAAGAGTGTACATTTTAAAACTGTTTAAGTGAATCAATTAGCCTATGTATATTTGGTTTAATGTTGCTGAACAATATATCGGTCAAAAGAAAGGGCCAGTGATCGGACTTGTTCAAAACCAGGAAATTGAATAACTGTTCTCCTTCTGTACCTGATGCAAATGAACCTGTTATTTCTGTTCAACTACCTTCAGTAAGTTCATGAACCTCAGAAGAGACAGTTGATTTTTGAAGTACTTTTGAACGTGATGGTTACACCTCTGGAATGCCTCAAAATGTATTGCAATATAAGTAAATATTTGTTTTGATTTGATTGTTATTGTTTTTATAATTTTTTTCTAAATGGTGAAATGGCATGATGGAAGGAAAATACATTGTGTGCTATTACCGTCATATGCTGACGTCACCCAGGTTGCAAACAAAAAATCAGCTGATTGTATTGTGGTGAGTCGGTGGCTCAGTTGGTAGCGTCACGGACTTTGGGCCCAAGGTAGAAGTGTCGTGGGTTCGGATCCTGGTCACTGCCACAAACTTTTATCAGTACAGTTCACCTTTGTACTGTACCGGCTCACCCCTTGCTTTGCTGGATACGTTCCACGCACAGATCTGTAGTCTATGTGGACGGGCAAATGCAAGGTTAAAAGAGGCCACCAACCTCTTTTTTAGTAAAAAAAAAAAAAAAAATATAAGAATACATTTGTTTTGATTTGATTGTTATATTTTTTAATTTTTCTAAATGGTGTTAAATGGTGTGCAATCTGAGTGACGTCAGCATATGACGGGAATAGCACGCCTGTTTTTTTCTTCCACCATGAGGTGAATCTACAGGGTGTTTTTTTTAAAAAACTTGCATCTTTATTTATGTAAAAACCGCAATAGATAGAAATATGCAGTTTGCGGAAATCATCTATTGACGTAGGGGATCCCAATTGTTTTGAATTCTACGTTACATTCACATTCCCCCCCTGCCCCCAACTTAATTTTTTTAAATAGCAAGGTACCCCTTGTGACATATTAAATAAAAGAGCATAAAAAAAGAAAATATTTGATGAAAAAAAATTGAAAATCGGTTCATAAATTTGCAAGACATTCCCCCCCCCTCCCCGGAACTTAATTTTTTTTAATAGCAAGGTATCCCTTGTGACATATCAAATGAAAGAGCATGAAAAAAGAAAGTGTTTGGTGAACTTTATTTTTCATTTGATATGTCACAAGGGCGGGTACCTTGCTATTAAAAAACAAGTTATGGGTAGGGGAAAAGGGGGGGATTATCTCACAAATTCATGAGCCGATTTTCAATTTTTTTTTCATCAAACATTTTCTTTTTTCATGCTCTTTTATTTGATACGTCACAAGGGGCACCTTGCTATTTAAAAAAATTAAGTTGGGGCAGGGGGGGGAAAGGGGGGGGGAATGTGAATGTAACGTTGAATTAAGAAAAATTGTGCCCCCTACGTCAATAGATGATTCCCGCCAACTGCATACTTCTATCTATTGCGGTTTTTACATAAATAAAGATGCAAGTTTAAAAAAAAAACACCCTGTATATACAAATCCCAAAGTACCCAAGAACTTTTGAGAAAACTAAAAGTCACACCCCCATAAACCATATATTTAAAATTTTTGTCATGAAATTGCCCTTTGAGGTGTGATGTTCCAGTCCAGTGAGCTGAAACCCTACTGGACTGATGCTGTTTTAGGGCTTAGTTCTCTTCAGCCAGTTATTTTTTTAACATTTGCTTAATTTATTTACAACGTAAGAAGCGTGTAAGATAAAAATGAATGAATGTGTTGCATTGCCAAGTTAAAAATTCCATTAAAATAAATTGAAATTTCACTGAAACCTTAGATGACATGGGTTTCCTCTGTATTGCTTTTACAATCCAAATAAACATACCGAGCCAAGGCACAGTCCCCCAGTACTACGTGATATAAATACAAATAATACCCAGCATACATTGGGACATGTGTTGTGATAAACAAACAGGAGAAAATAAATGCAAGGATAATCAATATCAATACATCTTTATTATGGTTCTATTGCTTCACTATGTCGGTTCGATGTATAATAAATATTGGGTTACTGAGGATTCCTGTTGCAAATAAAAAGAGCCAGGAACAAAACATGGACATTGCTGTTTACGAACGGTACAACAAATGAACAGAAGTCAGAGGTCGTCTATAATACAGGAAGATTGACAACACTAAGTATGGCTAGAATGTTCTTTTCCATAATATAGATTTATACATAAAAAGATAATGAATTAGACAAGACTTACAGTAAATTTCATTCCTAAATGTAAATAACAAAAACACCAACAAAATGGCTGACTGTAATTACACACGGGTACAGTCAATTCTATTACAACTGTCAACTATAAAGCCTAAATTGTATAAAAATTTATTTAAATAATTTGTAAAATAAACGAATCTCACTTTTAACACAGGTATTAAACAAATAGATTTTATAAATACACCAGCTTAGAATAAAGCTTTTAGCAATTGGTTTTCCAGTCTGATTTCCAAAGAGATCTATTTACACTATAGAAACATATTAACAAATAAGTACATTGATACATAATCGATAGATAAAATTTAATTTCTTTTGCTAGACGACTCGACTTGAACGATCGCCGAGAAGACGGGTTCTGAGGAACCACGATCTCCGATACAAACTACAAAACCAATGCTTCATCGTAGATAAATACACAAATATACACTATAAAAATATAAAGAACACGCCAAATGACATTCGGTGGAAATCTTACAAGGGGAATCGTCTTGATGGTAAAGTATCACAAATTAAGTAGATCGACTAAATGAAAAGCTGCGTACTGTACTCCTTTTCGGCCGATACAAAATGAGTCTATCGCTAACAGAACATCTTGGCACTTCGTTTTAAAACACATTTAAAAAATTAATCCTATACATTTCTACATTAATTACATAATATATTTGGGAAAAATACAAAAATAATGATGACACGTATAGCACGACTTGAAGAGCATCTGACATAGAGTATAAAAAAGTAACAATGGCTTACGTCGATATTATTTAGTGAGCATAACACAACTGAGTCAAAACTTGACATAAATCACATGGCTTAAATGATAGCAACAACATTTTAAGTTAGGATTAATAAATGGTTTACTTAATATAGTAACAAAAACAACAAAACAACATATTTTTGATTAGCTAGAATATGTTCTATGTGTTCCTGTGTTTATTGATTGTTGGACTGAATTTTAATGTTTAACATAACATAATTATTTTTTTTTAATTACAGTATACACAAATGGATTGAAAAAATAATAACCAGAAAAATTGAGGTTTGGTATGTTTATTACTGAAGCAAAAACTAACAAACAAATATTGCACAATAACAGGTGAGATTTTATTATAAACGAGAAATGTGTATTTATTATAAATTATACAATCACATGAACATACTCTAATCCATTTTGTACATAGGTAAAATTATACAACTAATTATTACACAATTCCCCAAAAAACATATCAAAACTTGTTTGCTAGATTAGAAATAATTTGAGTTTACATTGATTCACATCAGGCCTCACATTCCATAGGGTTCTTGCTAGTTCAAAGTTTTTACAAAATTTGAAGTTCAATTATAATAATTTATGATTCTTGTTAATTGCTAGTAAAATTCAAAGAATACAATAATAATAAAGACTAAAAATACACATGGATTTTTATAGACATAAAGAGATTTTTAAAAAGTCAATGGGTTTTTTAAAGAAATCAGTTGCCATACCAGTTTTTTTTGTCGGTATATCATTAAGTGCATTGTGACAGATTATGTACTATAAAATACAAATTATAGAACAAAATATATATTTTTAAATATATCAATAAAATATTTAAATTCCTATGATCATTTAAGAAAACATCAGGATGAAAGGCTTGGTTGTGAGGCCCAGATATGGTGGGAGATCAAAATTGATAATAACTGCCAAATCAAAAATAAATGGGTTCCAGTATAGTAACTATAAAATGAAGACCTATTCATGACATTTTTATATCAAAACCTGGAAATACTCAATTATCTTTTAGTATAAATCTTTTAATGCATACATTTTGGATTGATTTGAATTCAATTCCTTGTTAATAACTTGTATCAATGTGAAATTGTTTTCTTACACAGCATCTTATTATTTACTTCACCATAAATATGAATGTGATGTTGAACATGTGATTAGATTACATCTCCCATAGAATTAACATTGGTAATCCAATAGATTAGTCTTCATATGTTATTCTTCATAAGTTTTATGAATTCAGCAAGCTAATATTTTCGGATACTAATCACAAAACAGTAATTGTTTGGTAAGAAAGGATCCTTAAGGGTTTAAAAGCTATCAATAAGACTACAGTAAGCAGTGAATTGCTTATGAGTAACAATAAATGTTTAATACTCCCAGGATTTGATATTAAATCCTTGTCATACGTTTTTATAAATATTTTGACTATTTGTATCTATTATAGACAAATTATGTTAACTTACAGGAACTTAAATACTCGTCGAGAGATCTCTAGGATGAGCACAGAAACTAGGATGGTATACACATAAAACACAATAATTTTGCATAAAATTAGAAAACATTAATTAATATATAATCCTGAGTATTCTTGTAGGTTGGATCTCAATAAGGTCAATCAGTTAAAGTAAAAAAAGGTAATTTTTAGGTTTAAAAGTGTTTAACTATACTGAAACACTCAACACTTTTTAACACCGATAAAACTACACCACTTCCATTCGTACTATCACACAGTTTGTATTTTACAATGAGCTTATGCAGCGACAAGCCACATCTATGTCCGAGAATCATGTGTTAGATTGAGACGGTTGAATTACATTTTAAATGTTATTTCAATTAACTAACTCTAAGTTAGTAGTCACTCATTGAATTTACCGCCTTGATTGTAAACCCAACAGGTGTACAAAAATATTTTAAGGTTAATTTAAAAGTTTTGAGGGCTTTCAATACTATATTTTTAAATATAGTTACGGCCGTGAAATTTTTTTAATGTTAAAGGATTTTACTTGATATGATTCACCATACACCAAAATTTAAACTTAATAGTAAAATAGGTATTTTCTAATGGAAAAATAATTACTTATAGGATTAATGATTGTTCTTCCCCAAAACAAATGATTCCTGGACAGAAGAAGGGCATCGATACATCAGTACTCAAATTAGGTACAGTACTGACTCAGAACCGGCGACTGCGAATTTTTTAAAGGAATGTTAAATTATATGTCTGACGACAAAACTCTTCGAAGTAACAAAGCGTAAGATTGTCGTCAATCAACAGCTGAAAAAACTGTTTCTGTCGTTAGCGGAGGGAACATGATTCTTCTCCGACTAGATGTTCTCACTTCTCCGCCAACTAGAAATTCGCAGCTCCGGTTCGACTACGCTACTCGCTTTTCAGTTTATTCGAGAACGGGTCGCCGATAGGATTACCGTTCTTTTTCCGAACGCTACGTGACACTAATGACGGCTCTGCTTGAACCCGAGTCCTTGCTCGACGGAGCAGATGACGTCGAAGGAGAGTTCTTTATACACTTGCCTGTGAGCTGGTTAACACTGAGCGGGTTGTTGATGTCATGGGGGTTGGTCCCGACAGGGTTGCGGGGGGGTGGTGCAAGATGGTTGATGAGTAGCGGCAGACAAGGGGCAGGTGAGTCCAGCTGATGAGGTGTGAGAGGTGATTGCAGACTTAGGCCGCAGGGGGAGGCCAGAGATACGCTGGGGGACGCTAGACTAGCCGAAGGGGAAGGTAGGATCATGGAGGGAGAGGTGAGACTGCTGAGGCCGCTCAGGCCGCCAGGCGAGCTCACACTCTGTTGGAAGCTCTCTGTGTCATCGTCAGGAGGCGTCGTTGCTTCGCCCACACTCCCGCAGCTCCCCAGGTTGTCCTCCGACTGGTTACCATCGTCACCACACTCCATGTACCGGATGCACTTCTTCTTACGTCTGTAAACCCATTATTAGAGTTATTAAACGAGATTAATAGTATGTTAGAGAAACAGTCCAACACCATGAAAGCAGATAAAAACTTTAAAATATTTAAACTTTCTTTTATAGCTTAAGAAAAGACAAATTAGAACTAAATTCAAAAGGGAGACTGTAAGACAGTTGCATAGTGACACGTAAGAAATAAATCCAATCAACAGGATTAATTTAATAGCTATAACAATTTAAATAGGTGAGTTTAACAGTAGGTACATATTTTCTTATGAGACCCAGTTAGAAAATTGTTTCTTATATAATGGGGAAAAAAAACTCTTAATGATACTCGTTCCTCCTGATGCTAAGAAAACAGCCATCATCAGTATTAATTCATTGGGGGAAAAAGTGTTAAAGATTCCACAACAATCGTACTTAATTCAAGAAGGAAGAACACTAGATCCGATATAGAGATTGTCAGGAACATATGAACGATGCCTAAATGAGCAATAATAGTACACATAGAGTACTTTGGGTATACTCATTATTTTCCTTCCAATCTGCTTGTTCATGATTAAGATTGGTATTTTACTGCACTTAATTGATGAATGAACAAATAGCATGCTGAATGATAAAATGCATGTGAAATAAATTAATGACAGATCAATATAATAAATACTGTCTCTTTCATAAAATGTTTTGTTCAAAGTTGTTTTTAAAGTGAATCATATAATTTCTTATGGTGTGTAGATATTTCTATTGTTGACAAACCATCTTAATGTTTTTAAATTGTAGTTATTTTGCTGTGAGAAAATTTAAATAAAAATTTTACAATAATAACTATTTAACTTTTAACTTCAGACCAAGCAAAATAATGATAGGCCGATAAAATTTCAACACACAATTGGTTAAAAACAAGACTTATTTAATTTCAAAGCATAAATCCCAGAAATTACACTTGGTGAAGTGCAATGCATTGTGAACAGTTAGAAAAGACAGAGGTCACTTTAAATATAGGCTTATGGGTGCTTACATGCAGGGAGCATTGGGTCATGCAAAAACAATAAAATTGATTCCTACGACATGTTAAAGAAATGGCCATTCAAATGTTAAAACATTGAAGTCTGCTGTTAAATATTACAATGTTCACATTATAATCAAAACAATGAGATAAGAAAACTAATACTAATATAAAACGTAGTATTATTGGAAAACACAACAAAAAGGACGTAAATACGGCGATAAAAACGAAGACTGCAAAACAAACTCCTACAACCATGCAAATCAGTAGTAATATAAGGTGTCAAATCGAAATCCTAATCTACAAAAGACAACGAATAAAACCAAAAAAAGAGAAACAAAACAGATAATATTAATTCATGAACTCTAACTGATGAACAGTCAATCAAACACACAACAAATAGACTGAATGTAAACAACGACAAGGAAAAGGACTCACGAAATCCTAGAGATTAACATAGGTCGGTTCTTGAGGGGAGGCGGCATTGCTAGGCCCATGATGGACCAGACTATGGACCAATCCTTGCGAACTAAGCTCGGGGCTGTTCACAACAGAACCACCAGTCACAACCACACAGTAATCACTAATTACCCACACCCAATACCTCTCATATCCCCATTACAATCCTATCACCACCAGTCTTCAATCTTTTCTCTGTGGGAAGACACTCTAATTTACCATGGGCCCCTTTCTCATTGGTACAGCTTTTAAATCACAACAAATGCTTGGTAAAGAACCTATTGAACTAATAAAAATTGGTTCTAATACTCTTATGGCGTAGGCCTGTCTTTCCACACAGATAAGATAAACACAGATTTGTTGTTTAAATAGAACCAGGGGCCACTCTTTAAGATCTTGGAACGTTGGACTGAATGTAAATGGCCAACAACCACGAATCACACGTAACTCTCTACTCTGATCTAGCAACTACTGGTGAAGGTGTTCTAAGTCTACAGTAGATCTACTTTGAGTGACCCCTGTCATCACGCACACACATGGTTCTACTTCTGATCAAAGGCCGCTAGAAATCATTTTTCATTTTCTGTACTTTGTTAAAGCAGGGATAGGTTTATATGCCTTCTATACATGTCACCACAAAATTGAACTACATAACATCGACAAGTCCCAAAAAAGGTAAATATACTAAAATTGAAAATTGTTAGGGGAAACTATTCATATACAATTTGTCCCTTATTTTAATAGATACTAACAACAGAAGTGACTCATGGTTAAATGTATAACCCTCATTTACGAGGCAAAATAAGTCAAAACTCCCAGCCACCCGGTCTGATAATCAGGATCTACTTTGAGCGTTAAGCAAAATTATCTTTAAATGAAATCCAATGATTGAGCTATCCAAACTACATCCATTACTGGGAAAAAACAGCGCAAATTAGGAATTTTGAATTTTTAGTTTAGGAAAATACTTAATTCCTACTGATAAGGAGAATAAATATGTAGTTAATACGTGACTTTTTTATTCCTCAATTTGGTTGTTAGAAAAATAACTTCTAGCGGCCGATCTGACCATGCGGCCACCGAGTACAGTCTGGTGATTTAACAAGCGACCTACCTGCACGGCTTACACCACTGGCTCTGCTGGTCCAGACCATACCTCGCTCTGCATTTCTTCATTGAGTTACCTGTCAAATATGAATCAGTTAGTATCAATCAGTCATAGAACAGCTGTAGTCTAAACTGTTTGTCTCATTGTTAAATAAGAAAAATATTTTAGATGGGACAATTTAAAAAGTTTTGATTATAATTGGCTGTCACCTATTCCTCAATTTTATATTAAGATACAAATATTTTGTGTCTAATATTAAATTTGTCGTCTTAGATATTAAAAATCTTATGTTCTTTCCTAGCCAAACTAGTTCAATGTTAATATACTAACAAGAAATGTCAGCTATTACATGCCGAATCTAAATCATCAACATTATAGAAGAGCCACAACATACAATACATTTTTGCTATTAAAGAAATTATAAGATTCTATGTAATTAAATATTTTCTAAAGATTAATTCGCAAAAATTTGGTTCAGCTTTCTTAAGAGTAAGGTTAATGGCCTTTTGAATTAAATATGAATACATTAGTGACGGGAATGACATTTAATCAAATTTGATGGAGATAGAGAATGGCCATTTAAAACCACAGAATGTAACTTAATGATTCTGGTTTGTTTATTCAATAAATTTGAAGGAAGGCAAGTGAAGTGGAGCCCAGTGAAGGGCTCTTGGCTCTCCTCTTATCAGCTGTTGTGTAATGGCAGTGACTGACTAACATTTCTAATGATGCGATTGCACTCATGTTCTTATTTCTTAGACTTTATTTTGGTTAACTTTTTAAAAGTATAGGTACTTTAGTAGTTAAATATATTGCGTTTAATTCATTGCCTGAGATATAAAAAATAAATGTTGTTGAAAATGCACTGACATAAGGGTAGTTTAAGACAAATCGTAAATTAATACTTTTATTTTCAATAAATGAATTCATTTTAACTTTAGTTAATTCATTATTTACTACAATTATTTAAAATTTATGGCCTGTGGCTTCATTTAATATGACAAAACTTATATCATGTTATCAATATATTATTTTCCATTTTTTAGCTCGCAGATTGTTTACTCTATTTAAAAACTTTGAGTTAAATTTTGCGATTTATAAATTAGGCCACATTACAAAAGAGTAATTTAAGGGTGATTTCAACTGATCTCTGCAATATTTTATAATTTTCATGGGATGCTTAATACATTCTTAAGCAAATAGTATGTCACTACAACAGCTACAACTAATATTCCCAGCTACAGTTTATTTTCAATGCCACAAATAATACCTTAGTGTATACTTAAACTAAAAAATACAAACATGCAACAAGCAAAACAAGCAATCAACGTAAAAATATGAGCCTAAAATAAAATATGTCCTTCATCAGAAAGGCCAACCAACCACCGCAGATAACGTTCCATGAAAACAAAACAATCTGATATACCAGCAAAATATATTGTAAATATAAAATATGAAATCGAATACGTTGAAGATATTATAATAATTTAAATTAAAGTCAAAATATGTAGAAGACGACGAACAAAATTTAAAACATGCAACAGCCAACAAACACCCCTTAAAAGAAGCAAAAAAATTGTAAAATGGGACACATACTGACACTGTTCCATAGACAGTTCATTTTCTGTAATAAACATGTATAACAATAGATCTTAAAATGTTAAAATTAAACCTTTAATGAATCTGATGAGCTGATCAACACTGAATGAATGGAACAGTATCACGGATACGTGCGTCGATAGGGATAAGGAGAGGACCACGAGGTTTAAAAAAGAAAAAACAAAGAGAAAGAGAAAAAGAAGTAAAAAACCGACCAGTAAAACAAGCCAAGTAGAATAAATAAATGAATAAAATATAGAATAAAAGAAATTGGAAGGAAAGGAGGTTTTGATAGACGAAGGGTTGCGGGTACCTCCTTCATTGGTTTCTTGCTTCCGTTTCCTCTTCTTGGCTCGGTTGGTGTTTGCACGCGAAGACCAATCCGGATAGAGCTGCATGTGCAGCTGTCTCTCACGTCTGGCCAGTTCATAATATTTGGCCTGTTCGTCCCGGCCTAAAGCGTGCCACTACGCATGACACATACAACAACAATTAATGACCTGTTGTTAAAATTTTGAAACAATAGAGTTGTGATTCAATAAAGAAGCGGAAGAAAGATCGAACAGTATCATCTTGGAACTATTCCCCTCGTCCAGTCAGTGCCGTCGTAAAATCTTAGATTGTAAAGACCGAATGTCAGAGAGGGTAGGACTCAGAGAGGGTTTGGGAGTTGGTTATTCCTTTAAGGGATGCGTTTGTGGCTAAACATCTTATCGTTTTTGTATCAGGCGATTGGTTGGTCGGTTTTCCGAATTGTCAGACAAAATAGCTGCTGACACACCCCAAGCCTTGCGCGGTAAACTTTGACAAAACTCAAGACAAATACAGCAAAACTCCACTACATCTAACTCAAAATCTATAGAAATCGCTCAGATTGTCTGTACTAAATCTACATTCTAGATCTTTAGTACTACAACAAGAATTTTACAAAACGAAACTTGGGGTATATCTAAGCTGCTAGCACTGAGTCCGAAGCTACCTCCTGAATCCGAGATGGGAACTCGCTCTTTCTTTCGCTTCTTCTTCTTCGCTCCATAGCCGTAATTGTCGCGGGCGCTCCAGCCCGGATACAATTCCATGTGCAGTTGTCTCTCCTGCCGCGCCTTCTCGTAATACTTGGCCTGCTCCTCACGCGTTAACGAATGCCACTTCACAGACACACAAAACAATCATCTTCTCAATAGTTACAATATTTTTATTTTAATAATTTCAGGTTAATATTTTGTATTGCAAAATATTATTTATGTAAATTGTGTATACATACTGAAGTTAAAAAATTAAATTCAAAACACCTCAGCCCAAAACAATTCAACAAACAAGATATTTCAAGCTTGATTTCTTTTTCTGTTTTAAGTTTCACAATCAGAGATTTTTTGGGAATAATTTCATTGGCTCTACTCTAGTGTATTTTGAAGAAATACACCTTGAAAATCAGCGAATCAACTGCTAAGTCTGTGGATGTAAAACTATTGATTAAAAACATCGATGTTTTTCTATACATTGACTAGAAACATTATATTATAGAGAGATGCAACACTTACTCTTCTACCGAGGATCTGGTTGATAGCTGCACTCTCCTTGAGTGTACACTCCGCCACCACCTTCGCTCTCATCTCCTTCATGTACAACATGAACGCATTCAGAGGCTTCTTAATGTGAGGCTTCTTTTTGTCTAAACATAGCAATTCAATAATTTGGTAAAAATGTTGTAACATAGCTCGGTTGCTGAGTGGTTATAGTGTTCAGCTTATAAGAAGGATTTTATTTAAAGAAAGGCTTAAAGAAAGACTTAGCTGTCCTTGATCATTGAGTTTTTTAAATGGTTCTGGCTAAAAAAAACCTGGTCTTGTTCAGTAGAAAAGCTAAAGAAGGTATCTCCGGTATACACACATCTTTCACTAATATTTACTTTAAAATAATCAACATTGTATACTCTGACTTAATATGATGGTAATGATGATCCAATAATACAGGGTATTTATAAAAAAAAACTTGTCATCATTACACAGTAAAAATAGCTTTTAATGCATGCCTTGAGGGTCTACAGTAGTATTATTACTCTCTAGGGAGTAAAAACCGGTTTTAGCCCCCAGGGAGTAACTATCAGCTGTTATTGTCAACTCAGTTGCAAATTTTGATTGTAAACAATCGTATGTATCAAAAGTATGTATAGATTGATTAATCGGTTATAGCTTAGCGATTCAATCATTTACTTATCAGCTAGTTACTTGTTTCCATTAGCAAACTAAATTAAAAACAAGTTAGAAGCAGTTTTCAGAGGTTATCATCAAATGAAAACTATTTTAGTTTTGTAAAATAGTTTGTTTAAATAATGGTGCAATATGACAAAAAATATAGTTCATCACTCGGGCAAAAAGTGTCTTTACAACCTTCGATAATTTTCCGACTGAAACTTGAGCTCGGGTCGAAAAGAGTCACTTTTGGCCCTAATGATGAAATATACAACTTCACCATTCTCCCATTCTCTTTCCATGTGACATAAAAGTTTTCTAAAAACACCACATAAAAAAGTGTGTAAACAAGTTTTAATAAGTAGCAGTGTTATTAGGTGATGGACTTGTTTTGCTACTTGGTAAACATTATTATATAATTTATGGGTCTTGTTGGAAGCTCGTATTTAAGATCATATTAATTGGCCTCCTTGGTCACCAGATATTACCCCGTTTGACTTATTTGTGTGTTTACATTTTGTTGTTTACAATTTGCATTTGTGGTTTAAGTGAGTTCCTTATGTTATGTGCATGTTTATAAAGTTATGTGCTTAATATGTACCATTAACTAGGATTGCAGGTAAATGTAGTATTTACTATTTACAATAATGTAAACTTGAAACAGTTCAGATGATTGACAACAGAATTCCGCACAAACTCTGAAATTTTAAACCCCTGTAGGACGAAGAAGGGCTTTCACGAGATATCATCCAAGCCCGCAAAAGGCATATAAAACAATGAGCAAAAGGATGAGCTTTAAATTAATACCCAATATGCCTATAAAAATAAATATTTAGGGGTTGATTTGCTGCACACAAAAATCAAACAAACTCTTTTAATAATATAGATAACGGATTAATTTAGTACACAAATAAAACCTAGAACTGAAACTGGTTGGTCAGTAGAAGCTATTGTTTTTACTTTCTCCCCCTGTACAGTACATGGAGAAAGTGTTGTTTTCGTCAAAATTTTCATGTTTGAGTTTTGAGGGGACCAAAAAAGTGGTTTTCGAAGTGATGTCTGTGTCTGTATGTGTGGATGTGTACAGAGCTACAGACTACACCTGTGGTCCGATTTTGATGAAATTTTGTATATAGGTACTAATCCATGGTATCTCCAGGCGTTTTTTTTCATTTTTTTGAAATTTTGATTTTTAATGTGGATTTTCCCATAAAATAACGGAAAAATTTGACTGTCTCGAAAATTACTTGTGGAAAATGGTTGTCTTGAAAACGATTTTGATTACAACTTTAACAACATAGTGCAACCCCCCCATTCCTGTAAAAATTACGGTTCATAAGTTATTTAACTTGTGTTATTTTCCCATAAAAACCCATATGAAAAAACTGAAATAATGGATAAACAAAAACTAATTTTGATTGAAATTTCTCTGTAATGGTCCTTATATTTCGAAACAAAATAGTGATAACCCCCATTCCTGTAAAAATTAGGGTTCTAAATTTAATGCAACTTTTGTGATTTTAACTATTAAATACCACGGTTACTCTCATCGCTTACCCATGACATTGGTTGTTGACAAGCTAATAGGAGAAAGTATGTGTCAGATTGCTGATACCTTTTATTTTTTGTTATTTTTTATTTAATTTTAAATGTATTTTAACTGTAGGGGGGACCTATAACAATTGATTTATTAGAGGATCAGGTTTGAGCAATTGTAACCAAGTGTGTAATAGTAGGAAATGAGCACGTCATTATACCTTAAATAATCATAATTAACAAAATTAGAAACAGATTCAAAAAAAAAAATATTTTGAAATTAGAAATGTTCAGTTTATTTTTTATGCTAATCAAGCACATAAATACTGCATAGGTTAGTGTATACATTTTGTATTTAAGGATTTAACGACTAATTACTAAATTGTTGGTATAAAATGTGTCATTTTTATATTTAGGGAAAACGAAATTTGTAATTAAATAATAAAACACTCAAAAGATATAGCTGAGATTAACCGAAGTATTTAAAAAACCAGCAAAAATAATATGATGTTCTACCTTTGCCTGTTAATTTAAAACTGAATTTACCTAGAAGATTTTTGTTTAGTTATATTAAATAAATGACTCCTACTTTGTTTGTAACTGATTGATAACTTAGTACCTAATGATAGTAATGAGCATAGTAATAGTATTGATAAACATATTCCATCATTATAGATTATATTAGTTGTTAAAAATTGTATTACTGTACTCAAACTAAAAACAATACCACATTTTAGACCACATAAAATACCATAAACCCCTTTTGAAGCAGACATGTAATAAACAAGGTGATAAAATATAACTACAGAGACGTATTTGAACAAATCAGTCTCTTTCAATTAGGCTACTTTTTTTAGAAACTCAACACTTTAAAAAATTAAATTTATAGTATGTTATTCTGAGACAGGTAAAATAACATTTTAAGGTATTGTTGTGGTAATTCATTTACCTTTCTTGAATTGGTTGTTCAGTTTGGTGGGATTTAAACAGTTTGAATAAATGACTGTTGGAACAGTGGGATGTTTTACACTACAAGATACATATTTTTATGTGCGAAAATAAAAAAAAATAGTCAACTACTTAAAAATGTTACCAGAATAATTAGTATTCTTCAAACGTTACTAAATTGTATTGCATATTTATTACATTTACTGTAGAAAACTTAAATGTATTCCAAGTACAAATAAGCTGTTTTAGCAACTTCAAAGCAAGTTACGTGTATGGTTCACAAATAAAAAAATCCATTTGGAATTTGTATGGACCGACCAATAAAATATTATAAAAGATATTTTTATTCAAAACACGTGTTAAAACAAGACCTTGATTCTACACACAGTTAAAATGCCACACTAATAAACAATGAAAGTTGTGATTAGCCTACCTTGGTTATTACTTGTGTGGCCTGAGTCCTGAGATTTGCCATCATTGAGTGAGTTCTTGTGGTCCATGGAAGAAGACCTAAAACAGAAGATTCACTGTAAAATTGGTAACATAATTAGCTACTTTAGATCGTACTGTGTGATGTGTGGTGATGGGGATTACCGTTTCTGCTTGGTCCTCTTGACGGGCATCTTCTCGTCAGTAGAGGTGGAGGTGGAGGTGGGTGACGCCGGTGTAGGTGCCGTGGCGGGCCGAGGGACGGTGATACTGAGGCTGTCTGTAGTAGCGGAGGTCTGAGTCTGGGTCTGCACCATCTGCCAGAACCTCTGCTGCGCCCACATAGGCGAGAACTGCGTGTCCGGGTACTGCGGGTATACCGGGTACCCCGGGTACGGCGGCAACACTCCCGACGACACTAAACTCCTCATGTACAGCGCCGTCAGAAAGTTCGACTCTATCATCGGATACCCTCTCTCGCCCGTCCGTCGGTATCCCATCCCGGCCTTGTCCCAATAGTTTTTATTCAAGTCTTCTACGAGCTTTCCTTCACCTTCCTCCTTGTTGTCCACTCCCTCGTCACGCGACTTTTTGCCGACACTGAGGTCCTCCACTTCCACCTTGATCTCATCGTCCTCGGACTCCGCCCCCTTTCCATCCCCGTCCCCGGGATCTACCACTGACGACGGTGCGACTACTGCCACCGGTTTAGGCTTTTTCTTAACTAAATTCAAAGGTTCGCAGTCATAATATTCTTCCATTTTAAAATTAATTTAATCACATTGTTTTTAACGTTTTAAATATAAATCGTTTACTAACAAAAAATAATTATTTAAATCGAGTTTACGAATGAGAATATTTTATAGTAAAATATTTATAGTAAAAATATATCGTAACAGTAATTAAAAACTAAAATCAATTTTAATAGCACCGAAATGGCCGCAATAGGCGGTTTTAATCCACTCGGTATGACCGAACGAGGAGATGTGAGTTCAGTAGCAATATAATCTTATCAGCACACTTAACACCAGTGTCGACTACAGTACTTATCTAGCACATAGCACATGTACGACACTCCGTTATCACTGTTATTGTCGATCTTATAAAACGGCTAAATATAAAAATAACGCTATCACCAGAAATCACTCGCATTAAGGCGGCTATCAGATCAGATCAGCCTCCATTCTCGGCAATATCACTTGTTACATCGCGACGATTCACATTTCACTTCCAACAAACACTTTAAACTCCGCAATTTACTGCTCGAACAGGTGTCCGACAAAAACACGCCCGTCTGAGCTTATCCCGCTGGACCCACGGTGGTGTAGAGGATCGGCCGATTAGCTGGGTCATTATAAATAAATTTACGACTCGTTTATGAAGCATTCAACAGGGGGTACCAAAACAAAGGATATGTCATCGTCGCGACGTAATGACGTAAATAACGCGCAAAGACTATCGATGTTCCCCGCTCGAGATGGGAAACATAACCTCAAAACAGCGGTAAACTCGAGTGTATCACACACTTACCGCGAGGTGGCGCCGGGGAAACGTAAACAAAACTAGCTCTTAGAGTCGCTTTCTCGAAATAAAGTTAATTTTCAACTAGAAAATCACCATACAAATAAAGACGAACTAAGCACTTATATCGAATTGCAATTCTACGATTCGAGTAGTTATATTTGATTGTCCGGGAGAGACAGACGGAGGGGGGAATTTTTTTGAGGAGGGTCAGGAATTGGCGTCAATAATGATAAACCAGTGTCATCAGTTAGAAGCGACAACTGCAATAATCATAAATGTGCTGTGCGTCGCGTGTGGTGACTGAGGTGAAGGGAGGATTGTCGAATGAGACCGCGACTAGAGACACGGCGAGACACGGCCGAGGCAGCGGTGACGTCGAGGTACGCGCGGCTGCCACTTCCAGTAAGAAATGAATTTAAAAGACAAATTGAGGAGTCGTTTTGGGCTGAGATGTTATCAGAGTGTTTATCGATCCCCGACCCTCCCTCGGTGACGAAGAATGCGAGCACACGCGCAGGCGCGCGGACGGAGCCCACTTCGCCGTGTGGTGCTGCCCCTAGCGGTGGAGACGCGAACCTCTAACAATACTGGACATCCACAGAACAGGGCATTGTTGCTTTCGGGTAGAGAACAGATACGTTTAAAATTTCACCCTGACATACAGATGATAAAAAAAAAACTCATAATAAACAGTACACATAAGTTAAACAATCCTGGATGCAATGATAAATAAACAATAAACATAAGTTAAGTAAAGTGTTGAATACAAGTCACTTTTTGTTTTGTTTTTAAACTCAAGTCGCAACATTCTAAATTGACTATTAATCTACTATACTGTATTATATATTAGTAAAAAAATAGTCAATGAGCGCGTTCTGGGAACATGTACCGGTGCACCGGTGCCGCACCGGTGCAAAAAATGTGTCGTTCTGGGAGACCGGTGAGTTAACCTAGCAGACAGCTATTTCCTCTTTTTCCTCCTCCGGTGCAAGATTTATGCACCGGAGAAATTGTACAGTATACACCGGTGTATACACCGGCGGCCTCTGATTGGTCAGTTTCTTTGACAACAGCTTGCAGCTACGGCAAGATGGCGGATCCACCGAATAATGTTAATTAGTTTTATAGGTTATGTTACGTAATGAGTGAAAATTTGTTCAATGAGAGGGTTATATTACGTAATAAATAATAAACAATAATTTTCAAACAATTTATTCCGTGATGGCAAGTCTGTTTGTTTGATTTAAATATTATTAAGCAAATAGTAGGTGAATGTATAACTTATAATCCGATGAACTTCTGGGATACCAAGACTCTTGCCCCGGGGCGGCACCGGTGAGCAAGTCACCGGTTAATCTGCACCGGTACACCGGTACATGTTCCCAGAACGCGCCCATTGTTTTTTTAACATGCACAATGCTAATGTTAGAGTGTAAAGTATTGAAGGATACGATTCGATTTTTAATCGAAAAAGAAAGTGTTTACATAATTAAACCTGTGTGACCATGTCAGTTGTATTCCTTCATAGAACATCAACCGTGTAGTTACTGTATGTTGGATAATGGAGTTTATATTGGAATCTTCTCATAAGCTTCCTCTCATCGATGTGCAAAAAGTCCAAAAAAGCATTCACATTTTATCAAAATATGCTAAAAACAGGTATCAAGTTTGAGGCAAAAACGGTGCCAAAATATTTTACTGTTATTTTTTACATCAGTGCATAAACTAACTAATCCCAATGGCATTTTTTAATACTTAGTTTTACAGCGATTTCACTTTTATAGGATAATTTGTGACATTTCTTACTGTAACTAGTGGTATATCTCGCTTACAGTGGTATTTAATATCTATGCAGGCTTTAAATACTTTCCACCCCTTGGAAGATTAACTGAATTCGGTTAAAGTTTAGTTTTGTGTCTAGATTAACCGGTCCCTCCACAAAGAGATAACACATACATGTGTTTTAAGGTACATTTAATTTTATTTGCATAACAAGACGAGCCGTGACAGGTCGTACGCTAAATAACATTGTGACATATCCTTTACTAACTAACACCACGAAGACACATTCTCCGAATGGAAACAGAATATAAAGCAAGGTTGTTCGTTCTAGCCAATGCCTTGGATGACGGTTTGTTTTGGCTAGTTACTGTCCACACTCACACACAAGACATTGCTTTTCCTGGAGATGCATCACTTGGATGACATCGGAGGGTTATTGTTATTGTTATTGATGGAGGTAGTTCAATGTGAATAATAGGCGATGATCAAAGACGATGCAAGCTTACTGAGCGACCAATGCATACAACAATTACATTTTCACAAATAATAGTGTGTTAAAGGAAAAATTCAAAATGGTCATGTTCAACAAATCAAGTTGTTTTAATCCTGTATTTAATCGTTTAATCTGAAATAAAACTTTTCGTACCGAATAGTTTAACAAGCGTGATGAGAATTAACATTGTTTGGATAAAAATAAGCTATTCCGGTATTTGGAAATCTTAATATAAATAGTTAATATATTATAGTTTTAATTAATTTGTATCAAATTAGCTCAATTAATTATTATATCATTAAGATAAAACAATACATTTAATATCAAACTGATACATATCAATTAACATAATAAAGTGTTCCATTTAATTACATTCGAGCCCAAGTACTGTACAACCAAATTGATCTATAAGATTGTCAAGTATAATACTTTTGCAAAGAACAATTTATTCCTGAACGCATTACATTTTTCTTTGTATTTTTTGATCAAATAACGTGAGTTAATACCAATAAATATGTAAAAATTTTCTGAGTCTCGACACTAAAAACTATATAATTTAGACACAGGACAGTTAAGAAATGGTTTAATAACTGCAGCAACGTTAAACTGAAATATTTAAAGAATTGTTAATAAATGTTAGTCATTAGAGTTTCATATTTTAACAACACCATCTATATATTAAATACCCTAGGCATATATCATAAATCTAATTAAACCAAATGGTGAATAGAGAGTCAATGCAAATTTAAAATATATTCATATTGAAGATATCGAGGATATAAAATAAGTGAAATTAAATACTACGTTTAAAATTACCAAGTTCTTATATTATTTAGGTAGGACTAATGAGAATGTCGGATGGCTGTGATTTGATCTAAGAAATAACGCAATTAACAATTTTTGCTTCAGTTATTTGAAGATTTATGTTAAAGAAGCCTATGTGCATGCCTAAAAAAACAACTAACTACTGCCTAAAAAAACTGTCTAACAGAAACTATCCAAAATTGAACATCCCATTTACGTAAATTGCACATAACAGCAAACTAATTTGATAGCAGCTGTCACTTCGTTAGGATTGTATTTCTATCAACAGTCGACCTCTTTGTCGAATCAGCTGATTATCAGCTGATAAGACTGGATCCGTCTCCTAAAACAGGGAGACGGAGGCTCATTTGTCTCGCTCGGAGGGTTGGCCACACTGCTTCATTACCGTTGAATGGGAGATTGTTTTCATATCGCCAACTGCTCATGTTGGTAGGCCTGGCACAGTCTCAACAGCTGATTGTAACATAGCAATTAAACATATCTCTGTATTACCGAGACAACACGTCATCATTAAAATGTCCGGGTGCCGTGCCGCTAAGTTTAGGAATATACGTTCCGGACTCCGGTGCAAAAGTAACTCTGTCTTCATTTTCACTTTTTGTTACTGCCCTGGTTAATTTACGAAACTCGAAAAGAACTTATGTAATAATTGTGTTACTCATCACTGTGTAAACAAATGTTTATACACTGAACTTACTCAATCGCGTTCCTCTTTCAGATATGATTAAATTCCAAAAATATGTTCACCCGTACGTGCGCGATTCTGATACGACTTTTAACGTGGTCATCTTTGTCATATAACTAAATAAGCCAAACCGTACGCCATCCGTCCCTGTATTAAATAAATACAAACTTTCAAATAGACAAACAATAATTTTAGTCGCCTACTTTACATGGTGTGAAGTTGTTTTCACAAAAGCAATCATACCGTTTAGACGGGTTCGATGTAAAGTATAATATGGGAACATTTATGAAACTATCAGATTAAATTAGTTACAGGGTAAAACAACAAGTTGCTTTTTAAATCACAGCTATAGAAACCCCCTCTAGTCCCAAATATTAACAAACTAATGACAACTTAAAAGCCATAGAAGCAACTCGACCTGTTCCAGAGAGAGCTGTGGACATTCTCTCTTGCTTCTAGAAAATGTACCCAATAAGAAGAGTCTGTAATTATCTATTTGAGATGCGCTTATATTGTTGTTCAGGTTTAACGTTTAGTTCAAGGTCGTTTATACTTTATTGATATATTTGCTAACTAGTAAATTTACATGAGTTTAATTCATGCCGATATAATACAATATACATGAACTACAAGAACATACTTATGACTTGTAACATTTTGAAATCTATAAAACAACTCCAGTATGTTAATTACATCATAAAAAACAAACGTTAAAGTATGTTTCGTAATGTTTTGGAAAATAAATCAGTACACATTTAGCATACAAGGTTTGCTACACTATAGAAGAATTAACTCCAATCATTAGGCATACCATACAGCATCACACTAAATAAAAAAAAAACTATTTATCAAAAGATAAAAGTTGTTCCCAGTTTTGTTGCTGTTCATATAAATTTTTCGACGTATTTTCGAATAAAATCTTGCGAGTAAAATATAATATTTGTATAAGCCTTACAGTGATTGTTTACGTTAACAGTATCGTTATAAAATCGAAAAACAATGGAAATGTCCTTGATAGAGAAATGCATATCGATTGACAATCCCTTACAAACAGTTGTTAAACATTTCAATGGTTACGTGTGTAGATTTTAATTATGAAACACATGTTTATTTGAAAATTGTTTAACATGGAAATATACTTTTTGTGTAAATTTCTAGTGTTTATTTCCCCAAATCATTGGCCCGGAATTTTTTGTAACATTTCCGTATAGTCGTGCAAAGTTATAGACACTATAGAAATCATCCTAACTGTTAACTTCAAAAAGAGCTTTATAATTATTAACTCTAATGCCTTCTTTTTATTTCCCGTATTGAAATTTCTAACTTGCACGATGGCGCACATCGAGAGAACGATTTGATTTATAATACTTATTAAGTTTTAGTCAAATGAACCGCTTACTTACTAACATGGACTACATTTTATTCCCTATTGATTTTGATACGCTGTTTTTGTGAAAATAACCGATATAAACAGAGATCTTGACTCATTCTCGCACTTACACGAAACACGATATAACGGTATAGACCCGAGGGTGGATATATACAGTACTATTGTCGCTCACT